ATAAATGTTACAGATAAGATAAAAATAAGCACCAATAGACCGAATTAATATGGCTAAAGTTTAAATAAGGCAGATGCAAGGAAAATAAAATATTTTGATGGAATAGGTAAATATATAAGACACATAATCCTACTACATTTAGAATAAAATCTAAAATCCTTCCCAAGTTCCGTAAGTCTCAGTATTCCTGGCTCCGTCCTGCGTCTCAGGTCTCTTCTCCTCCAGCCATCCTCTCATTCTGCAGCCCAGCCACACCAGCTCCCTCCTATTCCTCTAAGGCACTTCTGTGCTTGCTATTGACTCTTCCTGGAATGTTCTTCTGCTACGTTTCCCCACCTGGCAAGCTCCTTTTAATTACTGAGATCTCAGCTTAAAAGTCACATCCTCATGAGGACCTTCCCTGATTGTCCCACTCAAGGCTACTCGCTCTTGGAACCAACCAATATTGCATTACTTAGTTAAATTTCCCTCATAGTACTTATCATCATATGAGGTGATCATTTATTTATTCATATAAATTTTCTCCACAACTAAAAAAAAAAAAAAGAATTAAAAAGTTTTATCATCAAGGAGGCTTTCCCTGATCACCCCAGGCTAGTTCAGGTCACTCTATTTTATTACTAATTTCCACCTCACCTTGTCATTTTTCTAACCCAACTCACACTTGTAATTTGTTTTCCAATATCTGTTTTTCTCCATAAATTCCATGAGGTAGGGGCAACTGTGTGCTATCTTATTAATCAATGTATAGCCACCAGTTACCAGCACATAGAACACACTCAATAAATACTTTCTTCAATACGTGAATAATTGGTGAATGAGAAAGAATTGGAAATAAAAAGGCAGAAAAAGGAAAGCAAAAAATAAAAAGCTACATGCAAGGAAAATTATGGCATTATATTAACCTCTTACTATTCAGTTCTGCAAATATCACTGTTTCCTACTAAACAAGAATATAACAAGTTCTAAACAGCATTTGTAATACAAAATATAGGAAAATAAACTTTTTTAAAGTTTCATATCTGCAATTTATGCCCTATACTTTGATTCATTTCTAGTAAATGAAATCCAGTGGATCTTTTGAACTGCAATTCTTCCAAATCGGCAATTCAAGTAAAAAAAGGAATTCTGGATAAACAAAAAGCAGATGCTAGCTGGGTGCCATGGCTCATGCCTGTAATCCCAGCACTTTGGGAGGCCAAGGCGGGTGGATCACCTGAGGTCATGAGTTAGAGACCATCCTGACCAAAATGGCAAAAACCTGTCTCTACTAAAAATACAAAAGTTAGCCAGGCATGATGTCATGCACCTGTAGTCCCAGCTACTTTCGAGGCTTAGGCACGAGAATTGCTTGAACCCCAGAGACGGAGGTTGCAGTGAACCAAAATCACACCACTGCACTCCACAGCCAGGGTGACAGAGCAAGACTCTATTAAAAAAAAAAATCTATTAGGAGAAAGTATTATAAAGTTGGAAACTGAAAAACATTTCATAGGAAGACAGTCTGAAGACTACTATAAATTCATCCCCAACCAATCAGCAGTGCCCACTCCCTGCCCTCCTGCCCACAAAATTGTCCTTATTGAGCTACCACAACCAGACCAGTGTGGTGGCTCACGCCTGTAATCCCAGAACTTTGGGAGGCTGAGGTGAGTGTACCATCTGAGATCAGGAGTTCAAGACCAGAGCCTAACCAACATGGAGAAACACAGTCTGTACTAAAAACAAAAAACTGACCAGGTGTGGTAGCCTATGCCTGTAATCCCATCTACTCAGGAGGCTGAGGCAGGAGAATTGCTTGAACCCAGGAGGCAGAGGCTGCAGTGAGCCAAGATCACGCCATTGCACTCCCACGTGGGCAAAAAGAGTGAAACTCCATCTCAAAAAAAAGAAAAAAAGAAAGAAAAGAAAACCATAAAATTATAACCTCCAAGCTGTCAGGGAGGTGGATTTGAAAAATATATCCCTTCCTTTCACTCAGCTGCCTTGCCTCCATTAAACTCGTCCTCTGCTGCAATTCCTGCATTCTCAATGCATGGCCTTTCGAGGAAGTGGGGAAGAAGAACCTGATGGCCTGTGACAGGAGAATAAATAAGAGTTTGGCAAGCAACAAGGTGGTACAGGTATTCTGTGTAGAAGGAACTGCAAGTGCAAAGTAGAGAGAGGAGGCATACTACCAGTTTGAAGTTGCTTAGTATGTTCAATGAAAGGCAAGTAGCTAAAAGGTAAGAAAATTAAAAAAAAAAAGTGCTTGTTCATAGAGGAACTTGTGCACCATTCTAGACATTTTACTGTAGGAAATGGGGAATCTAGAGTTTTAAAGAGGTGAGTAAATCAACAGGTTGGGTTTTTAAAAATTCCTTCTTGTGGCAGAGCAAATAGTGAGTTGGAGAATTTCCAGACCAGACTGTAAAAGGCACTAATAAAATAATCAAGAAATGAGGAGATGACAAACTAAAATATGATCTAGTGACCAACTGACTATGGGAAGAATAAAAGAGGGAGGAATTATTTCTAGTCTAGGTTATAATATAGTAGTATCATTATTTAACTTGGTGCAAATAGGAGAAACCAGGAGGAAAAACAGCAAGTTCAGTTTTGGTCATATTAAGTTTGAGGGACCTTTGAGACACACATGTTCAGGAAGGAACTGAGTTAGACACTAGTAGATCTGAGAGAAAAATTGAAATTTAGAGGCAAAATCAAAGGCATTAGTAGAATTTATGTGAGCGGACAAAATCGCCAAAGGAAAATGTATAGACTAAGAAATGAATGTAATTAAGAGTGAATTTCAGAGAATGACATTCAAAAACCAGGTAAAACCAGTGAAAGGAATTCATTCTATAAACCTCAGTTGTCACAAAGAGACTAAGCAATATAAATTTTGAGAAGTAATTACTGGATTTGGCATATAAAAGGCCATTAGAAACTTAACAACAACTTTCTCGAAGCCATTAAAGAAGCCAGGTAAAAGACTTTTCTCTGTTTGATATAAGTAAAAACACTATGCTTTCAAGAAGTTTATTGATAGGAGGATTGGGAAATAACTGAATAAACAAAGGATGAAGGACATGCTTTTGCTTGATTTAATTTTCATAAGATGTGTGACTTGAGCACTGAGGAGAAGAAACTGAAGAAGAGGCTGAAAGCACAGGAAAGAAAAAAGACAACTGGAAGCAAATGAGATCAAGAGTAAAGCTAGATGGATTATCCTTTAATATCTCTTTCTCTGTAACAGAAATACAAGACTAAAGTCTGGGCAAAAATATAGATTAATGTGTAGGCTGGGAGCGTGAGGTTGAAGAAATGGCCTATTATACTCCATCATATTTAGAAAGGAGAAATGAGGAGGACAAGGGACAAGGTTTTATAAAGCGAAGGTTTGAAAATGTCTTTACAGAAAAGATGCAGGGGAAAACTGGGGTAACAAAAAGGATTGCTGAATAGTATGAAGAAACAAGGGGTGGTGGGTGGGGCTCTGTTTCTAAGTTCATAGCTATAACTATCTAAAGATCTTTCTATCCTCCAGTCCATTAGCCACAAGCGCTTAAAAGATATGGTAGTTAAGTAAATTAACTAGAACCCTGGTACTCTCAAACATGTGCGTGAATTAAAATCACCTGTAGGTTTATTTAAAATGCAAATACCGAGTCCTATTCCTATTCATTCAGAATTTCTGGGGCTGAAGCTCAAACAGTGAATTCCAGAAGCTCGCCAAGCAATCCAAGGGAAATTTCTGTTTAAAAAAAGAAGAAAGAAGAAAGAAGGAGGAGGAGGAGAAAGAGGAGGAGGAGGAGGAGGAAAGGAGAGGGTATGGGAGGGAGGGGAGGAGAAGAGAAAGAAGAGGAGAGAAGAGACGAGAGGAGAGGAGAGAGGAGGAGAGGGGAAGGGAAGGGAGGGAGGGGAGGGGAGGGGAAAGGAGGGAGGGGAGGGGAAGGGAAGGGAGGGAGGGGAGGGGAAGGGAAGGGAGGGAGGGGAGGGGAAGGGAAGGGAGGGAGGGGAGGGGAAGGGAAGGGAGGGAGGGGAGGGGAGGGGAAGGGAGGGAAGGGAGGGAGGGGAGGGGAGGGGAAGGGAGGGAGGGGAAGGGAAGGGAGGGAGGGGAGGGGAAGGGAAGGGAGGGAGGGGAGGGGAAGGGAAGGGAGGGAGGGGAGGAGAAGGGAAGGGAGGGAGGGGAAGGGAAGGGAGGGAGGGGAGGAGAAGGGAAGGGAGGGAGGGAGGGGAGGGGAGGGGAGGGGAGCAAACAAGCACAGACCTATAGGTAACCAACTGGATAGATGACAGCTGATCCAATATATACCTGTTAATGGCCCTCGTACAAGCGTGGGGGAGTGCTCTGCCACTCAGAAAAGCCAAGACTCCAAGATCTAGGGAGATTCAGTTACATACACACCACCCCATAGTCTTTTTTTTTTTTTTTTTTTTTTTTTTTTTGAGATGCAGTTTCGCTGCTGTTACCCAGACTGGAGTGCAATGGCACGAGCTCGGCTCACCACAACCTCCGCCTCCTGGGTTCAAGCAATTCTCCTGCCTCAGCTTCTCAAGTAGCTAGGACTACAGGCGCGCACCACCATGCCCAGCTAATTTTTGTATTTTTAGTAGAGACGGGGTTTCACCTTGTTGACCAGGATGGTCTCGATCTCTTGACCCATACTCTTGATAAATTAATGATAATCTGAGCTTGAAGAATGTCATGATGAACAATGCAAACACAAAATGTTTGTTCGAAATACTGTCTCACCTTAGGTTACGAGACTCAATGCCTTACCCTAAATTTTCTGTTTCATTACTCTGGAGATTTAGTATCACTAGTGGAATTCGGGATGCTGCAAGAAATACGGAGAGCGAGGAGACTGCAGGAACAACCCGTGGGAAGAGGGAAAGAGATAATGGAGATAAGGTAGGAAGGAGAGGACAACTCTAAGTGCCCATCCGCCCGAAGACTTGGAACGCTACGTAAGTAGGACCCCAGAGCCGTTCTTCTGGCCTCCCCGGGCACTCACCATTGTTTCAGGATCTCAGCACTAGAAAAAACATATCGTAGAGACAGGAAGACACCACCACCAACACCATCATCCGGTTACTCAGGCAACAGAGCCCCGCCCACTGCCGCAAAGTGCGTGGGACGCCACCGCCCCACCTCTTCGTCCTTAGTAGCTGAAAGGAACCTCAGCTGCGTCCATCCAATCGCCAGACCCGCCCCTCCATGCTGTCGCCGGGGCTACGAGACTCCATTTTCCTGTTTCCGGCAATTTTACTTCCGTTTGTTTGACAGATGACCCGGAAGTTTAAGTGAATATTACACTAGGGCTCCAAAAGTTGGTATTTTATTTTAAAGTACACATCTGTCCGCTCTTCACTTACGGAGGCCTTACACTGTGTGTTCTGTGTTACTTGAGTTTAAACTTACTGCAGAAACGTATTCCGGAAGCGAAACCCTGAGTAATCGGAAGTGGTTAGAAGTGAGAGAGCCTCTGGATATGTGGAGGGACTGGGCGGGTCCGCTTCTGAATGGAAGAGGTCTGTGAGAAGTTAACCTGGTGATATCAATCCGAAGAGCCTGTCAAGTGAAGCCACCTGAAATAGGGATAATAAGAATCTTAGAGGTAAATCCGAGGACGAGCAGGTATAACTAAGAGAGGATGTTGGAAAGGGTCGGAAATCTGGGTTGGAGCTTGGTGGCCAGTAGCTGTGGATTTCGGGAAAGATTGTTGTTCCGGGAAGGCTTTTTCAGACAGGGATGGAACTCCGGTTTCGACTTCCCGGGACAGCAAAAGTTGACAGGCTCGTCGCTTCCCGGCCTATCGCTTTCATACCTGCCCACTCCCCCTACTTACTTCTTCACCCGCTCCCCTTCATTTGGCATTTGCCGGCAGGCACTCACTGTGCCTGTACGTTTCACAGAGCAACTATCAAGGGCAGTTTCAGGGATCGTTACTCTTACGAAGGGTTACTTGGAGACCTCTTTTCGGAGCAATATACTTTAAGTGTAGAAAAGTTTGTGACTGTTAAGGAAGTTAGTCGTCGGGTTCACTCACTGAGCTGACTTCTTTCTAGTACTGGCGATCTTTTTTTGTGGTGAAACCAGTTTTCATCTAGTGTACAGCCTGTCATACTTACATCATTGCAGTAGCATCACCTTCTTTCTCAAATATGTTCTCTGGTAAATCTGAGTCTGTACTTTAAGGCAATGCGTACATTTCTGAAAGCATGTGCTCAATGTATGTTTCTCATTTTACTTTAGAAGCTACGCTATTTTAACTTTTATTACCAAAAAAGTATAAGTTATGCTATCTTGAGTAATATTTATGTCGCTTGTTAAACATCTAAACAGAAGCTCTTTTTTTTTTTTTTTTCTGAGACTTGTGGTAGACATAACAATGTCTTCTGGGAGAATGGGATGTAAGGGATATTTCCTTGTCTAAATGCATGTGTACTAAATACACAAGTAATTAAAATATCCTAACTTTTAAATTAGAGGTACTCAATGAATGTGTTTATATGATATTGTTTAAATTCTTTCATATGCATACATTTCTAGGTTGTTCAGAAGTCTTGGAGTGCATTTTCAGTGGTTAAGGGAAAAAAATGACTACTCTTAAGAGTTTAGAAACCAAAGGTAAGTGGCTTTTTTATGATAATTGTTTTTAAAACATGAAATTTATGATGATGTGAAAGGAATGTTTGAGCCAAATAAGTAGATCTTATAGAAGCCTTGTACTTTAGATATATAAGTGAAATTTAACATCATTAGTTAGAATTTATTAGGTGACTACTCTTAAACATTTAATGTTAATATAGAGTTTTTAACAACTTTTTCCCTATACACTAGAAGATTAATATTTAAATAAGAATATACATTTTTAAAGATTTCAGTAGATAGACAAAGCAACTAGCATGTATCAAATGTTTCTTTCATGTTGCCTTAGTTTGCTAGGGTTGCTGTAACAAAGTACCAGGAACTGTGTGGCTTGAACAACAAAAATATATTGTCTTATAGTTCCGGAAGCTGGAAGTCCAAGATCAAAATGTCAAGGCTATGCTCCTTCAGAAGGCATTAGGGAAAGATGCGTTCCAGGACTCTCTCCTAGCTTCCAGTGGTTTGCTGGCAGTTTTTGGTGCTCCTTGTCTTGTAAACACACTTATCTCTGCCCTCGTGTTCACATGGCGTTCTCTCTGTGTGCATGTTTCTGTGTCAAAATTTACCGTTCTTAGAAAGGCAGCAGTTATATTGAAAAAGGAACCCAGCCTACTCCTGTATGATTTCATCTTAACTAAGTACCTCTGCAGTGATCCTGTTTCCAAATGAAGTCTCATTCTGAGGTAGTGGGGTTAGTACTACAACATGTAAAGATTTGGGGGACACAATTCAACACATAAATTGCTAAGTACAGTAGTCACTTTTTTTTTTTTTTTTTTTTTGAGACGGAGTTTCGCTCTTGTTGCCCAGGCTGGAGTGCAATGGCGCGATCTCGGCTCACCGCAACCTCCGCCTCCTGGGTTCAGGCAATTCTCCTGCCTCAGCCTCCTGAGTAGCTGGGATTACAGGCACGCGCCACCATGCCCAGCTAATTTTCTGTATTTTTAGTAGAGACGGGGTTTCACCATGTTGACCAGGATGGTCTCTATGTGTTGACCTCGTGATCCACCCGCCTCGCCTCCCAAAGTGCCACCGTACCCTGCCAGTAGTCACTTTTTAGTCCTACCTGGCTTATCCTCTCTAATATTTGATACTGTTGACCATTTCCTGCCTTTTGAGATACTTTCTTTGATGACTACCATGACATCACTTTTATTTTCGGCCTACTCTGTAACCTTTCACTGTCCAATGCAGTAATTACATGTGGCTATTTGAATTTAAATTCATATTTTTAAAAAACTAAAAATTCAGTTTCTCAATAGCACTTGCCAAACCTCAAGTGCTCAATAGGCAGATACAGCTAGTGGCTGTTGCCATCATTGAAGAAAATTCTTTTGGACAGCTCTGCTGTAGCTATATCTTCTATTTCTTTTTCAGCCTCCTCTCCTTCTTAGCTTTTAAGTATTAGTGCTTTTCAGCATTCTCTCTGTTCTACTCTCATGGCTTCAGGAATTATCTATAGGAATGACTTCCAAATCTATAGCCCTGAACTCTTTCCTTATGATTCATACCCTTATAAACTACTACCTACTGACCATCTTCACATAGCTATAGGCAACAATTTTAATATGTCCCAAAGTGAACTTCTCCTGGCCCAGCTTATTCTTTGGATGGGGTGAGTTCTACATGCTAGAACCATCAGCAAAACATGGAAAACTGTTTTCTAGATGCCAATTTTGCAGCAAGCTGACTTCAGCAGCTAAGCCTTCTCTAAAAGCAGGTTGAAATAAGTTTAGGAAACAAGGAAGAAAGATCATACCAATAAATATTTTATTGAATTTAATTCAGCTGTGCTCTTAACAGTATTTCATAAGTCACCAGAAGGCTTTTATACTATTAGATAAGCAAGTTGGAGGCTGTAATAAAAGTAATAAACTGGGAATTAATAGGAAATAAGAGCAATTAAATAACTAATGTGAAAGCAACCAACATGGGGCTTGTCAAAAAGCAAAAACTAAATACAATATTATGATTAGTCATGAAAAGTACTGGCAAGTCCTCTTCAAAATTAAATTACTTTTTAATATTTATTATTACTTGTTTTTAATTAGGATTAGAGTTAATAAGGCACTTACACAAACATTATTTTATTTGATCTTAATTATCCAGTAAGGAAAATAATTCTATTAGCCATATTCCTATTTAATATGTTATCTGTTGTTAGTGAACAAAAGTTACTTGTATTGCCTGGCCTGTGAAAAGTACTTGGTTGACATTTGTCAGTTGTCTGTACTTCTGTAACTGCCTCAGGAGAGAAGTACAGTGGTTTGGTATAGCAACAGAACTTCCTCTCAGAAGACATTTGAGCAGTCATCATAAGAGGGATGTATCATGACTGCTAGGGCTGTTTCTGAAAGGGAAACATATAGTAAATGGTAACAACTAGAAAGTTAAATTAAAATCCAAAGCTTTTCTTGGATGTGGTATTAAAATTAAAAATAAAGCTATTGAAGTCAAATAGGTTAGTAAGAGTAGACCAAATAAAAGGTCTGTTTAAGACATTTAAATATTTCTGATACCATAAAATAGTATCACATTAGTTCTGTAGAATAATAGGTAAGGCAGCAAATCACACTGCCACATGTGTACCTTCGCAACTATCTTGCATGTTCTTCACATGTACCCCAAAACCTAAAATGCAATTAAAAAAAAAAGAATAATAGGTATTAAGTAAAAAAGGTATTCCATGAGCAGATAAATTTGAGAAATGGTGTATTAAAGAGAGGTTATACTATAGGACCTTTCAGAGTCTTATAGTATAACTTTAATACTAATATAAACTGAAATTCCATAAAGATACAGTATGCAACGCTGCCCACACTTATTTGACCAGGAAACTCTATCCATAGAGCCTGTGGCAAGAAGAATCCCACTTCAGGAAATCTTGATGTAACTCCTAAGTCCATTGTATGTAACTTATTTTACTAATTTAATCGTAACTAACTAAACTTTATTAGGTGATATGGGCGACATTTAAGAGAGTCTTCATTTAAAATTACCACATGACAATCCCTAATTGGTTTTACTGTTTCATAGCTGAATTTGTGTATGTTCTGGAAAGTCTGTCAGACTATAACCAAGTTAGGAATTAATGATTTAGGGTAGAGGAAAAAAACATAAAGCAGTTCTTAAGTGGGTTAGTTTTTGGATGTTAAAATAAAACACTCTAGGTAGTGTATTAACAGATTAATGAAATTTAGTAAGCATTTATTGATTTTTCTCTGTGACAAGGACCATTTTATTAGCTCATGATACAAAGATTAGGAGGCAATCCATACCCTGAAGAGCTCCCAGCAGTCTAGTCTACAAGAGAAATTAATTATTTTTCAAAATATATACTACCGTATTTGCATTACTCTGAAAGCACTAAGGGATGGGAGGAGGATGAGGTTAAGTGCTTTGTCCGAGGTCACACAATGCATGCCAGTGGGGACTTAAGTTATTTTAACTCAGACTCTGATGAGTTAGAGTTCTTTTCAGTACTCCATTCTGCTGACTTAGAATACCTCTCATCATAGATTGACGATCTTATGAATAAAAGAGAGATATTTGTTCAATGACAGACTGTAAAATATTTTTTTGCCCCAGTGTTCTATAGCTAGGGTTGGCAAATTGTGGCCCTCAGTCTCCTGGTAATGTTTGCAAACAATTTGATAATAGTGGGCATTAACACTACTTAAGCCAAATATTATCCTGACTAAAAAAAACAATCTGTTCTTCCCTTTATTAGACCTATGTTATCAAAAAACTGTATTCAATTATTTTTATTGTAGTTTGAATTTCATCAATAAAGTTTTTTTCCTCTTATTATATAAATAGTTATATGGTATCCTCAATTTCAGCTTTTGGTCCACAAAGCCTAAAATATTTACTGTCTGGTCTTTACAGAAAAAGTTTGCCAGCTCCCATTCTAACATGTTGGAATAGTGACCTTATTTGTTCTTTCCCTATATTTCACCAATCCTGAGAGGCAATAAGAATGAGCAAACCTTAGATATGTATTAATTCATTGATAATTGATCGCAGGTAGACGTGATGGTGAAGAATAATTTAAGATTGTTTTATTGGTTCCCTTCAAAGAGTGGGGAAGAATAAGGATTGATGTTTTTCTTTACTTAGGCATTACTTATAATTATGGAGTTTGTACCATAGGTCCTTGTCTTCCCACTTGAGATAAGGTAATTATTCGTAAGAAAGCCTTGGATAGTGCCTAGTGTATTTGTAATAAATGTTTCTATGTGTGTCACAAGGAAAAATAGAATCATGAAAGTTACCAGGAGAGAAAATGTAAAGCCCTGGCTCTTAGTGCCTACTTGCCTATGCACATTAGCTGGAATCATAGTTATTACTGAGTGGGAGCGCTCATGTAATAGATAATACAACTTTGATATTCAGAAGTGCTCCAGTAAGTAGAACAGTTTAAATAAAGAGTAAATTGGGGTTAATACAAGTTGGTTGAACTTCTTGATTTGCCAAAAAGGTATTTTGTTCAAAAAGAGATTTCTTTTAAATACCTTTTTTTTTTAATTTTAATTTTATATATATATATTTTATTGCATTTTAGGTTTTGGGGTAATGTTTCTTTGCCTTTTAAATTTAGCATCAATCATTTTGTAATTTGTTCTTAAATCTCCATTACTTAAAATTCCAACTCAAAAATGTTACAGCTTGCCTAGAAATCTTATTTGAGCATAATGGAAGTAATACACCTGTTTTTTATTTCCTCAGCCTCAGTGGGCCTGAACCATGGATCTAGTGTGTATTTTTATTGTTGATTATTTTTATTAATTTATAGTTAATACATGATTCTACAGAATCATGTATTAAGAATCATGTATTCTGTAGAATCTTCTTCTTAAATGCCAGAATGTCTTCTGACAAAATTAGACAAGTTAGTTAAGTTTAGAAAAACTTAAAATCAGATTTTAAGAATATGGGTAGATGGGGGTGATGGCTCACACCTGTAATCGAAGCACTTTGGGAGGCTGAGGCCAGAGAATTGCATGAGCCCAGGAGTTCAAGACCATTCTGGACAACATGATGAAACCCTGTCTCTACAAAAAAAAAAAAAAATACAAAAAATTACTTGGTCATGGTAACACATGCCTATAGTCTCAGCTACTTGGGAGTCTGAGGTGGGAAGATCACCTGAGCCCATGAGGTCCAGGCTGCAATGAGCTGTGATCGTGCCACTGCACTCCAGCCTTGGCGATTCTGAGACCCTGTCTCAAAAAAAAAGAGCATACGGGAACAGTCCTTTATTTTTTTAAATGACTCCGTGGAAATTATCCTGTGAGTGCTACCATGCTCTGCTTTTTTGTTGTTGTTGTTTTGTTTGGTTTTTATTGCATTTTAGGTTTGGGGGTACATGTGAAGAACATGCAAGATTGTACACACAAGATAGGTACACACATGGCAGTGCTATTTGCTGCCTTCCTCCCCATCACCTATGTCTGGCATTTCTCCCCATGCTCTCTCTCCCCAACTCTCCATCCCCCGCTGTCCCTTCCCTATTTTCTCCCCACCGATAGACCCCAGTGTGTGATGCTCCTCTCCCTGTGTCCATATACATTGCACTTTATTGGGAAAACAGTACATTCACAATAAGTTGAAAGAGGGAATGAGAGAACAATAAAATAATTTGGGAATGATATGGTGAAAGTGAGGTGTAAGGATGTTTATTTAATCTGCCAATCTAGTGTAGTTTCACTTGTGTAAGCAGGACATAAATTGATAGGCCTAAGAATAGGATTGAATCTTTTCTTAAATGTTTCAGTGTAATGTATGTGTTACTTCCTCTTAGTCCTATGCAAAGCATTCTTTGCCAAGAGTTCACAAAAACAGATGACTCTTTTATGATGTAAATGGTTTCAAATACACATATATATAGCTGACATTTATTTTTAAATAACATTATTGAGTGTCTACAGTATGCCAAGCATTTGATCTTATTACAATTTTTCTTACCAAAATTCTATAGCAAAGTTGTTAGGATCTCCAGTTTGCAAATTAGGAAGTAAAGAATCATGGAAGATTAAATTACTTACCCAGGGTTATACTAGGAAGTAAAAGTCAGAACCAAATACTCTGATTCCAAATCTTTTGTCTACTGAAGGAAAGTTGAAACATGTAAGACTTTATTCATCCTTTGTTGACACATGATTGTTTTGAAAATTACTTTTTCTCTGATTTTTTTGCATTCTTTTTAGTGCCAGTAATTTTGAATATAGGGTATAGCATGTCTTAGCATTTTCTTGGCATTTTTTCTTGGTCAGTAGTTTCTGTTTTGTTTCCTTTTTGTTAGTCACCCTTGCTTCATCCCCAATCCGAGGAGCAGGAGATGGAATGGAAACTGAGGAGCCACCTAAATCTGTTGAAGTTACCTCTGGAGTCCAATCTAGAAAGCATCGTAGTCTTCAGAGTCCATGGAAGAAAGCAGTTCCATCAGAGAGCCCAGGAGTTCTTCAGCTAGGGAAAATGCTCTCTGAAAAAGCAGTGGAAGTTGAAGCTGTAAGAATATTAGTTCCCAAAGCTGCTATAACTCATGATATCCCCAACAAAAATATAAAGGTTAAGTCTCTGGGACATCATAAAGGAGAATTCCATAGTCAGTCAGAGGGAGTTATAGAACCTCATAAGGAACTCTCAGAGGTAAAGAATGTATTGGAAAAGCTCAAGAATTCTGAAAGAAGGTTACTACAGGACAAAGAAGGTCTTTCAAACCAGCTCCGTGTACAGACAGAGGTAAGAAGTCTTAATTTATACAAGGAGTACTACTCTTTACATCTGGACCTTTTAAACCTACATGTTAGAAAACTACATTTCTTTATTTCATCATAGCTTGTCATTTCTCTAAAATGCTTCTTTTTAAATTTCTCATTCTCTCTCAGAGTCTCTAGAGAAACTTTATGTTGGGAACTTATACTCCAAAGCCTCATTGAAGCTGGAGGTGTGAGGTGCTTTGCACAAAACCACCAATCAGTTCTAAAAATAGGTTACATTATAAACTGCCAGACCAAAGACTGACCACGTCAGGTATAGTAATTGACCAATTAGCAGTCTTTGTTTTAAGGATCCATAAATTCCAAGTATTTTTTCCTGTGTGTGCAGGATATATGGAATAAAGATAATGGTGGTTTAAGTTACCATGTCTTCACTGTAAATGAAAAAAAATCTGTAGCGATTAAGTGTGTTGCTTTAATCTTTTCATCTTAATAAAAATTGCCTTGCCACTCCCTTGTTTCTCTATGAGACCATACATCTTTTGGCTAGAGACGAGTCTTCATAACTGACACCACAGTTAGTGGTTCTTATCCAAATAAATTTTTAAATAACTAATTTATCATTACAAAATGTAGTACAAATTTGTATGTAAAATTTGTAGATAATCCAGAAAAACACAATGAAAATAGTGCCACCTGAATCATTCCATCCAGCTATACCTGCATAACCATATACATTTAGTTCACTTTGTATTATAACCCACTTTTTTCAGGTATTAATGTTCTACCATGGCACTGAATATAGTAATTACAATGTCATTAACAGCAACAGTGTTCTTCAGTAGCTATACCATGTACCAATATCTGTTATTGGATATCTGTTTTAGTTTTTTGGTCTTTTCAATAACAATGTAAAGAATATAAAACATACTTAGAAACATACTGGATTACTTCCTTTGCTTAATTTTTTAAAAGCAAATTCTTAGGTTGCAATAGACTAACCTATAAAGTTGAATCAAAACATAAAACATTCTCTGTCATATTTTTTATCAAAACGTATTGGTTTTGTTTTTTTTCCTTCAAGTGTTGACTGGAAGCAAATCATTATTTTCCTAATTATTTTTACTCTTATTACAAAAGGCTCAATTTATTACCACATGGACTGTAGATATAGATGTATAGAGAGAAGTAGAGATATGGTTTGCATGTTAGGTAGAACTTAAATATGTAATTTTACTTTTTGATAGAAGATTTAAATCATGGAAGTCCAAATTACACAGAAACGCAGCCTATTTTGGTTAATTTTGTTACATTAAAGTTAATTATATTACTTTGATGTTGTTGCATGGATTATGTTCTCTTCTAGGTAAATCGTGAGTTAAAAAAGTTACTAGTGGCTTCTGTTGGGGATGATCTTCAGTATCACTTTGAACGTCTAGCCCGTGAGAAAAATCAGCTTATTCTAGAAAATGAAGCCCTAGGTGGAAACACAGCTCAGCTTTCTGAACAGCTAGAACGTATGTCAATACAGTGTGATGTATGGCGAAGTAAATTCCTTGCAAGCAGGTATTTTCTACAGCAAATAGTATTTCATTTCCTGGTGTTTGCTCCATCAGGCTTTTGATCTGTAACACAAGAAAGTAGACTATAATGTGAAATTTTCTGATTAAGATCATGAAAATACTTCTTTTAAGATGTGAACTCTCTCTCCCCTGGATGGTCACACAGTCTCCCTAAGTGAAGAAGTGACAGAAGGATCATCCCTTATTACTGAGTTCTAGGTTACTGTTTAGTAAAAATACAATGTTTAAGACTGAAATAAAACTGTAAACTCAGACATCTAGTAAACATTAAAATCACAAAAACCCAAACTAAATTATTTTTCCCCTTTTAAATATGTGGATTCCCCAAGATAATATTATTCATTCTGAAGGCTCTCTTCTGATAGTTCTTATGACTATATAATAAAGCATCCCAACCTCTTTCTCTCTGCACAAATAGAAAATTATAACATTTTTATGACATATTGGATGAGGCTACTCTCCAATGGTGGCAAAAACTCTGGGGTCCTCATCCAGGCCTCTCGACACACTGGTGGTTGGGAAACTCTGCTATGTAGTATGATTCTTTGTCTCTTTATCCCCTCCCCACCTCGACTTACTAGGTACTGGAGAACAAGATCTGGATGTTGTGTAGTTAGCAAAATACTTTACAGAGAGTATGTTTAATAACTGCTGATTTAAACTGAATCATCTGGAGACTTCTCACACAACAGCCAAAGATTTCCAGGCTGTATTTAAAGAACCATTGATCATGATGAATACATTTTTAGGAAAATGTTTTTTCATGTCTTAATATCTGTGACACTTTCTAGTAGTTGTTTACTCTCTTAACACTCTTTTATTTATCTTTTAATTGTGCTGGTTCAGTATGCTATTTGGAAAAATGGAACTGTTCACTTAGAATGAAACTTAATTTAGTTAATTCTTATTGAACATTTTAAGAGGCAAATCATTTATATATTATACAAATTACTACAGTATGCAACTGTTTAACATCCTGATCAACACCAATAGTAACATTCCATTAAATTTTGAAATAAAAATTAAATAGGACTTTATTGATATTTTAATTGATGTAATCTTCCAATGTCAAAATTGTTTTTATTTTAAGGAACTTGATAGTAACTGCAGTCTCAGACTTAAATTTTAATATTAAGTTTTTTAGCTGATTAACCATACTTGAACATATTGCTTCAGTTCCATCAACAGAAACCTGGTTAAATAAAATTTTATATATCCAATCAGTGGAAAACATGATGCTAATTTATGAAAAAAGGGAATGAGATAGCGCTTTATGTGTGTGCTAATATGGAAAAAATCTCTAAAATACATTATTAAATAAAAAAAGTAAGATTTAGAAAAGTTTGTATTCAGTATCTCTTTTTGTATATGTTGTATCACATATGTATATGTTAAAATATACATAAATTTTTTTTTTAAGAAGTGTAAAAAACACTTTGTTGATTGCATATAAAAGAAGGATAGGGATCCTGGGCATAAAGAAAGACTTTATATAAGTCTATATTAACATTTTTCTGAGGGCAAGGAGGCAATTGAATGGTAAGAAAATAATTCAGTTTTCTTTGCCTCTTTAAGTTTTTCTGTATTTAAAAATGTTTAATAATTTGCTTTCAAATTTTGTTCAATCTAGAGTAAGACTGAGATGCACTCCAAAAGTCATTATATAGGAAAGTTAAATGACTTTTGCCTTTTCATTGTATAAATGAATATTTTAACTGAATCCCTTTAATGAACTCTAAGCTCATAAACATTTTTAATGTTCTTTAGTCAAAATTTAAAAATTGTGAAGTAACTATACTATGTCTTCCAGGCTATAGACTATGTTAAATCTTCATTAGCTTTTGAAAGTGACAGTCACAAAGTAATATATTCAATTCTTTACACTGAATTATTGTCAGCAAATTTATATGTAAGATTTTCATCTTTTTCAGGGTAATGGCAGATGAGTTAACCAACTCGAGAGCAGTTTTACAGCGTCAAAACCGTGATGCCCATGGGGCTATACAAGATCTCCTAAGTGAACGGGAACAGTTTCGTCAAGAAATGATAGCTACCCATAAGTATGGCGCTTTACGTTCTGAACTCTTCTGCTTTCTCCTGCAATTTATGTTATTGTAGTTTTGTTTTGTTTTGTCTACTTTTGATAACTTACTGGGCATATACTTTTAGTAGCATTTCAAAACAGATGCTCTGGGAAGGAGGAGGACTGAAAAAATAGAAGGCATGCTTTTCACATTCTTAATGGGGGAAATAATTAGTTACATCTCTAGTAGAAGGATTCTCTGGATTTAAAAGCACTTATTACAGTTGCAGTCGTATAGTTTTTGGTAGAAGCCAAGCAGTGTACTTGTCTATCCTATGGAAGGAGACCTTTTTGAGGACTTTCTGCAGTATTCAAGCCTGTTTTCATGTCCATATCCTCCAGAACTATCAAAAATGATGGTCTTCCTTAAAAACTTTTTGCATTTTTATATAGTTGATTTATTACAGTTAGAATCAGTGTCAAAGAGCAAATTATAGGGGAAATTCGAAGAATGAGAACACAAGAAACCTCTAGCCAGTTTAATCAGGAAAAAAGAGAAGATGTGCATTACCAGTATCAGGAATGAATGGGAGTACACTATAGACGCTATACACATAAAAAATATAATACAGAAATGTGATGAACAAATCCGTCAATAAATTCAGTAATTTAGATGAAATGGACAAACTCCATGAAAGACAAACTACCAAAGGTTACTCAGGAACAAATAGATAACCTGAATAGCTTTAACCTATTAAAGCAACATAATTTATAGTTAAAAATTAAATATTTTCCACTAAAGGAAATTCCAAGTCTAGATGGATTCACTGATAAATGCTAGTAAACATCTAAGGAAGACATAAAACCAAATTCACAAAAATTCTTCTAGAAAATAGAAGAGAAGGAAACAATTTCCAACTCATTTTATGAGGCCAGCATTGTCTTGATACCAGAACCGGAAGCATTAGCTGAAAACCACAAACTATTATCTCTAATGGACGTAAATGCAAAAATCCTTAACAGAATTTTGGTGAATCAAACCCAACAATATAGAAAAAGGTTTGTGCATTATGACCAAGTAAAGTGAATCCTAGGAATTGTAGATTGGTTTAGCATTCAAAAATCAATTAATATAACTCACCAAAAAAGAAAAATCATATGAATATCCCCATAGTTGCACAATTCATATAAGTAGTTCCTATACTAAAAGGTGAAAACTACAAAAAGTACTATTTGTTAAATGATTTTCAGACAACAACCCAGTAGTTTAATGTATGGGTTCTATAATCTAACGTACTTGACCAGACATCCTAATTTATGGAACTCCGAGAGAGAAAGGTATCAGAGAAAGATGTTATATAATTTCATAAATATTTTTCATACTTATTTACTATTACTGATGTTTACATTTTGCTCTCTTACTAATGTTCAATGTTCATGTGTGTTCTATGCAGATTATTGGAGGAGCTCTTAGTCTCCTTGCAATGGGGAAGAGAGCAGACTTACTCCCCTAGTGTACAACCCCACAGCACAACAGAGCTAGCATTAACAAATCACAAGTTGGCAAAAGCAGTAAATTCTCATCTTCTGGGAAATGTTGGCATTAACAATCAAAAAAAGATTCCATCAACAGCTGAATTCTGCAGCACCCCAGCTGAGAAAATGGCTGAAACGGTAAAATATTTTCTCTTTTGTGATCTATGGAACTTCTAAGACTGTCTTCTTACTGAAAGGTGACTATATTATCATGGAAAGTGTTTGGCATTAGGAATTAGGAAATGTGGGATCAAACCACTCATGCCATTGAGTGTGTTATGTTGGAAAAAATTATTTCCTCTTCTGAGCTTTATTATTTTCTAACATTACTGTGTTATTTTGAAGGACAAAAAAGTAATTGTTTGGAAAGAGGTCCTATGTTTTAGCTATTGAGTCATTGATAGTCCTTTTCTTGAGTTCATTTTGATATAAAAACCACTGTGTAGTAGAATTTTAAATGTAGTATATTAAATTAATAGATTAGTAGATTAGATTACTTCTGATCTAAGAAATTACTTAATTCCCACATATAGATGGAAATGTACCAAATACTACAGAACAGATAGTATAGTCCTGGATGAATTCAGGGTCCATGCAGCTGGCTTGTCAAACACTCGTCTCACATTTCTGTGACAACAACCAAGTTCACCTGTGTTACAACTCCCATGTCTCCATCTGGGTCCCTGCCACCTCTTGCACTATTAAAATCTTCAATGCAACATCTCTCTCTCTGCAATCTGTGATCTCAACTTTTTTACTTTCCAAATCTGATTCTTCATTCTGGCTCCCTGGATGTGAACACATCTTTGATCACATAATTTTTTTTATTCCCTTGATCCCTATATTTTTTGTTTTTTGTTTTTGAGACGGAGTTTCGCTCTTGTTACCCAGGCTGGAGTGCAATGGCACTATCTCGGCTCACCGCAACCTCCGCCTCCTGGGTTCAGGCAATTCTCCTGCCTCAGCCTCCTGAGTAGCTGGGATTACAGGCATGCGCCACCGTGCCCAGCTAATTTTTTGTATTTTTAGTAAAGACGGGGTTTCACCATGTTGACCAGGATGGTCTCGATCTGTTGACCTCGTGATCCACCCGCCTCGGCCTCCCAAAGTGCTGGGATTACAGGCTTGAGCCACCGTGTTTTTTGTTTTTTTGAGACGGAGTCTTACTCTGTCACCAGGCTGCAATGCAGTGGCGCAATCTCAGCTCACTGCAACCTCCACCTGGGTTCAAGCGATTCTTTTGCCCCAGCCTCCCGACTAGCTGGGACCACAGGCGTGTGCCACCACGCCCAGCTAATTTTTGTATTTTTAGTAGAGCCGGGGTTTCACCATGGCCAGGATGGTCTCGATCTCTTGACCTCGTGATCCGCCCGCCTCAGCCTCCCAAAGTGCTGGGATTACAGGCGTGAGCCACCACGCCCAGCTGATCCCTATATTTGATATGCTCACTCTTCTAGTTTCTCTTTCTGCCATAGCTTGCCTAGCCTCTGTTCGTAAGTGCCTTACTGCCTTATCTTCCTCTCCAAGTATGCTGAAAACTCCAGTCCTCTGTCAGTTCAGTTGTTTGCTGTTTTGTTTCAGTGCCCATCAAATAATACCTCACATTCAGCAGATGACTTTCCTTCCTAATCCACAGAAGAAAAAGAGGACAGGGGCAGCAAACTGCCTGAAGGTCCCACTTGATATCTAGAGCCTATCTGTGTGGCAGTTATCTCTCAGAGGAAAAGGTGTTCTTCTTCTCCTAAGCCTCCTCCCCTCTGGCTTCCCCCCCAGCAGTTATTCCTTCTCTCTGTTGGTTCTTTCCTTTTGGGTTAAGAACCTGTCCAGGTGTAATTCATCTAAAAAAAGAAAAATCTTCCCTCTATTATAAGATCTCTGGATATGGCTTTATTACTTTCCTTTCACATCCAAGAATCTTGGACAACTTGGCCATACATTTTTGTATTTAACACACCATCCATTCCTCAATTCCTACCATCACTTACATCTGTAGACTTCTGCCCCACTGTTCTCAGTAAGTACTCTTAAAAAGGTCAAGAACGTTTACTATCATGTTGTCTCAGCATTCCTTCCTTGAAACTCCCTTGACCTTTGTGACATCGCTCTTTCTTGGTCCTGATGCTACCTCTCTGAGTTCTTCATAGACTTTTCCTCCTTTCAATGTTTATGTTTCATAGGAATCTATGTTCCCCGTTTCAAACTCCCTTCATTTCCTAAACACCAAACTCTGGCAGCGATTCGCTATTTTTGTGACCTTGGTTTCTAAGTTTTTGAGAGGGTGGGGCATCCCCTTTCCTGTTACTCCTCTTGAGCTTTCATTACATTAACATACTTTCTGTATTCTGTAGGTGTTATTCTGTTACGATAGCTTTATGCTTGTGACTTCCATCTGAGACTTTTTTCTGAGTTAGAAAGATTTATGTCCAGCCAGGCACTTCCATCTGCTTGTTCCACAGAGAGCTAAAAATAGAACCTCCATTCTCCTTGCTTTTGCATTTGTACAGTCCCCGTCCCCTAAAAATCTCCTGCTTTTCCTGTACTCCCTCTCTTAATGAATTATACTTACTCTATAGTGCTGTTTTCAGGATTCCATAAAAAACACATATAAAGCCTGTAGCAGTTTCCAATATATTATAATTTTTCAGTAAGTGGTAGCTGTCATTTTTTACCATTTCCTTCATTCTCCTAGTCCTGTTGATTTTACAAATCTTACGAGGTTTTTTCTAATTTATCCCCTCCCAAGTTCAAACACCTGACTTTCAGCCTAGCCCATTTCAATAGCCCCCTCACTGATATCCCTGCCTTGCTTTGTACCTGCTCCTGCCCACCCACTGCTGCCATAGTTATTTCAGAAAGCCAGTTCAGTCATCAAATAGCTCCCAGTCTCCCTCTTTATTGAATCAGAATTCATCATCATCTTTTTTCCATCTCCTCTTCTCAAGGATTATTTCCCAAGTGTCACTATGCACTGCACTTCACATTCCAGCAGGGTTTAACCACTTTTCATGATGCACGCCGGCCACTGTATCTCATGCCTGTGTACATACGTTTTCTGGTCTAGACTGCCCTCCCGCACCTCTTTTGTTGCCCAACCTCTATACCACCTTTAAGAATCTGCCTTCTCTGAATCTTGCTGACAATCTGAAGTGTTCCTTCTCCAGCCTTCCATTGTACTTTGCACTTGTATCTATAATTGCTGTTTACCATATTCAATTGGAATAGTTTGATTCTCCATCCCTCTCCCAAACCGTAAACTCCTTAAGGGCTGGGGACCTTGTATTTTTATGTTTCCTCAAGGTCTGGCATAATCTTTTGCATATAGTAAGTGCTCAGCTGTTTACTGAATGAGTCAGTACCTAAAATTAATCACTTCTATTTAAAACTTTGTTTCTCCTCTTCTCTTCTCTTTGTTGTGAAATTGTGTCACTGCCTACTTAGTTGCTGCCAGTAGCATTTGGTGTAGTTGACCACTCTCTCTTTCTTGACTACTCTTTCAGGCGGGCACAGTGGCTCATGCCTGTAATCCCAGCACTTTGGGAGGCTGAGGTGGGCGGATCTCGAGATCAGGAGTTCAAGGCCAGCCTGGCCAACATAGTGAAACCCCATCTCTACTAAAAATACAAAAAATTAGCTGGGCATGGTGGCGCACGCCTGTAATCCCAGCTACTCGTGAGGCTGAGGCAGGAGAATTGCCTGAACCCAGGAGGCGGAGGTTGCAGTGAGCCGAGATCGCGCCATTGCACTCCAGCCTGGCTAACAAGAGCGAAACTTTGTCTCAAAAAAAAAATACAAAAATTAGTCGGGCATGGTGGCATGTGCCTGTGGTCCCAACTTCTCATGAGGCTGAGACAGGAGAATTGCTTGAACCCAGGAAGTGGAGGTTGCAGTGAGCTAAGATCATGCCACTGCACTCCAGCTTGGGCAACAGGGTGAGACTTCGTCTCAAAAGAAAAAGAAAGACAAATACTCTTTCCTAAGTTTATATAACCTTATACCTTACTGACTTTTCTCTTTTATCCAACCATTTTATTTCACTATAAAATGTTAGGTATCCTAAGGGCGTGATTTAGATCCCCTTCTTCTCCCAGTCCTTTATCCACCACATTCTCCTATTTAACAAAATTGACAGCCCTTCTTCCTTAGTGTCTCTTAAAATTTTCAGTCCCATTGCTTCAAGATGCCATCATTTCTTAACTAGATTATTACAATAACCTCTGTTTTTCTGTTCTTCTTATGTCTGCTTATACCTACTGCTTCCTCCATCCCCCACACAGTGTATAGAATGATCTCTCTGAAAGGCACCTTGCTTAAAATCCTTACCCATCACTTTCAGGCTAAAATACAGAAGCCTTTTTGTTCATACTAGCGTGTCAGTTTCCTGCACCTGAATTCCCTTAGCAATTTGTTTATCTCTCTAAAGACTCATAATGTAATAACATCTTTATAGTATTTGGGAACTTATTTTCTCTTCTAAATTTATAAGCAACATTAAGGTAAGCCTTCATCTTTGCTTATCCTCTAACACCAAATCACCTTCCATAAAAATAGAAGAATCTCAAAAATTGGAAAAGCCATCTAGTTGAAAAATAGATGTGCTAAAGTAGGTTAATGGCTCTTAAATGATGCTATGACATTCTTAGAGTAGCGATGGCTCTTTGGGTTTGGTGGTAACTTAGAAGGAAAAGAAAATAATCTGCAAGACAGCATGAATGCTAGGGAAACAGGCATCACTAGCCATTCCAGAAATCTGCTTTGAACAAGTCGTATGTAAGAAAGAGAGAAAGCACTTTTCCCGATTCATTTCACAATTCTTTCCAATTGCAGTGCTTGCTACCTTGGTACCATAACCCAAACACATCGTGTGTTGATGATTGGGAAAATATGGACATGAGAAGCAAGAGCTGTGGGCCAGACATGTTATCCCTGCCCTTAACTGGAGAATGTTTTTCAGCTCAAAAGTTCCTATTGTGGGTCTCAGTAAAGGAGACATATTAGGAAAAATCAGAGCAGATGAAGAATTAGGAGAGCATTGTCTTGTGGAACCCAAAAAACAAAAACATGGCTGTAATCATAAAATATTGCATATAAATTAGAAAAGATAAATGAAAAGCCATTGATACTACAAATAAAAACTGATTGAGGACTTTGAAATATCATTTCTATAGGAAAATAAAAACAAAATCCTGATTCTGAGCAGCTGAATGAAAGATTAAGAGGGGAAGAAGTAAGTCTATTTTGGTTAAGGAAAAAAAAATTGACATCACTTAATGATATAATTGACATATAAAAAAACTGACATCTCAATGATATAACCTCATTTTCTTCTATGTTTTCATGCTTTCCTACCAATATCTATAAAACATTAATTTCATCATTTAAAAAAATAGGTAACCGAGATAATAATTAGATATCATTGTTAAATTTAGAGCTTAAGGAAGGAGATAAGTTCTTTTCAATCATATTCATCGTTCAGATTTTTTTATGATAGTTACATATTACTGAAGTGAAACTTTATAGGTAGGCATGCATCAATTAAATCACAGGCTTTTGCCATCTATACTGCATACATCTGACATTGTATCTTATTTTCCTTAGGTTCTACGAATTTTAGATCCAGTTACCTGTACAGAGAGCTCACTTGATAATCCATTTTTTGAGTCTTCACCAACCACCTTACTTGCTACAAAGAAAAATATTGGACGATTTCATCCCTATACGAGATATGAAAATATAACTTTCAATTGTTGTAATCACTGCCAGGGAGAACTTATTGCCCTTTAACAGTCAGTATGTTGGAGGCATGCTACAGGTACTTGCTTGTTACCCAAGAGTCATTATTATTTGGGAGCTGGGGTTCTTACAATGCTAGAAGTAATATCACTTCCTATTTACATAATGTATATACCCAAAGATGTTTTATGTACTAGACTCCAGATTAGCCTTTCTTAATAAATATCTCAGGGTAAGAAAAGAATGAAACTATATAGATATATTTAAAATAGAGAATACCTTCCAAAGCAATATATGATAGTTTTCCTAAAAGACTATAAAAGAAAAGGATTCTGTAACTCTTTTTTTTTTTTTTTTTTTTTGAGGCGGAGTTTTGCTCTTGTTACTCAGTCTGGAGTGCAATGGCACGATCTCGGCTCACCGCAACCTCCGCCTCCTGGGTTCAGACAATTCTGCCTCAGCCTCCTGAGTATCTGGGATTACAGGCACGCGCCACCATGCCCAGCTAATTTTTTGTATTTTTAGTAGAGACGGGGTTTCACCATGTTGACCAGGATGGTCTTGATCTCTTGACCTCATGATCCACCCGCCTCGGCCTCCCAAAGTGCTGGGATTACAGGCTTGAGCCGCTGCGCCCAGCCCAACTCTCTTTTAAGCACTAAATTATTGTTTATCTTACTGGATATTTTATATGAACAGTGTTAACTGAGGTGCTCTAAAGCAAGGGTAGGCAAACTACAACCATGAGTCAAATATGGCCACACCCATTCATTTACTATTGTCTACGTTGGTTTTGCACTACAACTGCAGAGTTAAATAAATGCAGCAGGGCTTGTATGGCCTGCAGAGACTAAAGTATTTACTATTTGATCCTTTACAGAAAAAGTTTTCTCACTCCAATTCTAAAGTAATTATAGTAGGGAGCTGGAGGGTTTTCTTTCCCTTTATAGTAATTTTTTGAGCTACAAACGAGCCTTGCAAAAATGGGTGTAGGGATTAATCTTTTAAAAATAAATGCTATATATTAGGAATATAAAAAATATTTTAGAACCAAATTAACAAGTACTTCAGCAAAACATGTTGGTTTTATGCAGGGGATTCTGTATTCTGAATGGAGACAATCTGACATATATAAAAGAAACAGATTCTTAACTATTAACTCTTATTTAGCAAATGCAACACACAAGAATATCCAACTTGATATTTATAAAAGGTAGACTTTTTCTCAAACATTGTATAAGCTCAAAGAAAAAAATGCAATTAATTAATATATAGTATGTAATATATAATATTGTATATTTATGATGAGCCATCCTAAATGCCCATTGCTTAGTCTTTAAGAATAATCAATACTTAAATCAAATTATACAAATTTGTTGCAGAAGTGCCTGTCAATAGAGAAATCTTCAAAAGACAAATCTGGTCAAATAATACTAATTGTAATGTCAATGATTTCTTTGGCTGATTTATCTGAGTTATATTTAGTTTTCAAGTGGCAATAAATTTCTCTACTTTCTTTATAGTGAATATTCCTTTTTTCCCCTAGAATTATGTGCTTTGGTTCTGGTCTTTGTCTAGCTTAACTACTTGCAATTGATTCTTCAGCCTTTTCATTTAGGATTACTTACTATAAAACTCTCAGAAGAAAACATGAGGGGAAAGCTTCACAACATTATATTTGGCAATGATTTCTTGGATATGACACCAGAAGACATAGATAAATTGAACATCAAAAGAAACATAGATAACATAGATAAATTGAACATCAAAATTTCAAACTTTTGTGCATCAAAAGATGCAGTGAAAAGGCAGCACAGAGAATGGGAGAAAATATCTGCAAATCATGTATCTGATAAGGGTTTAGTGTTTAGAATATATAAAGCACTCCTACAACTCAACAACCAAAAAAAAACAATAAAAATTAGCAGAGGGGCTGGGCATGGTGGCTCATGCCTGTAATCCCAGCACTTTGGGAGGCTGAGGCAGGCAGATCACCTGAGGCCAGGAGTTCAAGACCAGCCTAGCCAACATAGCAAAACCCTGTCTCTACTAAGAATACAAAAATTAGCCATGCATGGTAGTGGGTGCCTGTAATCCCAGCTACTTGGGAGACTGAGGCAGGCTTGAACATGGGAAGGAGAGGCTGCAATGAGCCAAGATCACACCATTTTACTCCAGCCTGGGCAACAAGAGTCAAACTCCATTATCTCAAAACAAAAACAAAAACAAAAAAATTTAGCAAAGGACCTGAATAAACAGTTCTCCAAAAGGGATATACAGATGGCCAATAAGCACATCAAAAGATGCTCAACATAACTACTCATTAAGAAAATGCAAATTAATACCACTTCACATCCATTAGGATGGCAATTATCAAAAAAGAAAATTATAAATGTTGGCAAAGATGTGGCGAAATTGGAACCTTTATGCATTGTTTGTGGGAATGTAAAATGTTGAAAACAGTGTGGCAGATCCTCAAAAAATTAATTTAGATTAATTTCCTTAATCTAAATGGGTCCAGGTGCTGGAGTGATTACCCTTCTCTCCTGCTAAATCACAGAGGTTTAGGGAGTTCCTTCAGACCCCCATACAGTTACCATATGGCCTAACATTTCTGTTTCTAGGTAGATTCCCAAAAGAATTGAAAGCAGAAACTAGAATAGAGATTTGTACAGCAGTGTTCACAACTGCATTATTCACAATAGCCAAGAAGTAGTTATAACCCAGTGTCCATTGATGGATGAATAGATAAATGAAATGTGGTATATACATGTAAATAAATACTATTCGGCCTTAAAAAGGAATGAAATTTGATGCTACAATGTGGATGAACCTTTAGAATATTACACTAAGTGAAATGTCAAACAAAAAGTCAAATATCAAATGATTCCATTTATATGAGTTCCTAGAAAAGTCAAATTTGTAGAATCAGAAAGCAGAATAGTGGTTATCAGGGATTGGAGAGAGTATAGAATGCGGAGTTTTTATTTAGTTGGTATAGAATTATAGATTGGGATGACAAAAAGTTCTGGAGATAAACAGTGATCATGGTTGTACAACAATGTCAGTCTACATAATGCTACTGCATTGTACATTTAAAAAAAATTAAAATGGTAAATTTTACATGTATGTTGCCACAATTTAAAAAACTAAAAAAAATTTTTCTAATGTATATATACTGTTGTAACCACAATCTAGAGGCACACTTCTGCAACTGTTGGTTTAACAGTGTCAATTACAATAATAAAGATAAGAGAGCTAAATTTAAAAAATAAAAAAGATCTCAAATGAGCAATCTAACATAACACCTTAAGGAAACAGAAAAAGAACAAACTAAACCCAGTGTGAGCAGAAGGAAGGAAATTAAGATTAGAGTGCAGACAAACAAAATAGAACACAGAAAAATGAGAGATAAAGAAGTCAAAAGTTAGTTCTTTACAAAGAAAGACCAAATTGACAAATCGATAGCCATACTGACTAAGAAAAATAAAACACATAAAACTAAAATCAGAAATGAAAGTGGGGACATTATTAGTAGCCTTACATAGATGAAGAAAAACTGCATACCAATAAACTAGGTAAAATCCTAGAAAGACATGTATTAGTCCATTCTCACATTGCTACGAAGAAATACCTGAGTAACTTATAAAGGAAAGAGGTTTTCAAAAAGGCAGAATTATTCTGAGGCTAGACCATGTGATGCTTTATACAGTGCATTTAAAAAATTTTTTTCCACACAAGACATTTCTAAGTGTCTAATTTACACTTTTTCTTAAAAAACCACAGTAGCTTCTGTTGGCAATAGCTATTAATGAAGAAAGCAGAATTCAATTAATTGAGAAGAAAAAACTTTTGCTCAAAAAGAAAAGGTCCTAGGAGAGAAATAAAAACATGAATGCCATTTAAGTATAAACATGCACACATACATATAATATGTTGGATGTTAGCTTTTAATTAAGCTGAATTTTAACCATTGAGCTCCTAAAAACTATATTTTCCTTCCTAGAGGCCTGTCAGCAGAAATGGACCCAGTACCTCCCATTTTCTAGTTTACATGGTATCAAAAGGAGTAAGACAGATACACAAGAAGTGGAGACAAATTTTGGACAACATAAGGGGGAGTGTTTTGAGTCAGGGAAAACAGACTCAAAACCTTATCTCAACCAAAATGCAAAGCGATTGTATGACCAAGCCTTATTGCTTCCCTTGGCAGTACTGGACAAATGGCTTAACAAGCCCAGATAGGAAAATAGTAGGCTCCTGATTGCCGTTCTTCCCCAATAGTGAAAGGGACATGCACTTTTGAGCCCAGGACAGCCTTCAAGAGGGTCCCCAGGAAAATCTCACCAGCAACTGCTGGGATCTTCCTGAAGACTGTCTCCTCACAAGCTGCTGGCTGCTGCATGTAGCACCATCCTGGTCACTCCTGGCTGGTGCACCAAATCTTGTTCCCAGACTAAACTGAGGGTCAGGCTGCTGTTTCTCGTGGCCCAATAACGAGATGCAAATGACCTGGGGAGGAAGAGAGATTTTTATTTCTGCAACTGATTACAGGGAGAAGGCCTGGAAATTATTGCCAGACCAACTGAAAATTACAAGATTTCCAGAGCTTATATACCTTCTAAGCTATGTCTGTGTGTAAGTGTGCATTCATCTAAGGACGTAAGTGATTAACTTCTTTTAATCTATAACTAAGTTCTGAGTCCTGAAGATCTTCCTCTGGAACCTCAGTAAATTTCCTTAATCTTTTTCTGTTTTTTTTTTTTTAAGGTTGTAACAATTAAAATTTTTTTTTATTGCATTTTAGGTTTTGGGGTACATGTGCAGAACATGCAAGATAGTTGCATAGGTACACACATGGCAGTGTGTTTTGCTGCCTTCCTCCCCTTCACCCACACAAATTTCCTTAATCTAAATGGGTACAGGTGCTAGGGTGATTACCCTTGTCTCCTGCTACATCACGGAGGTTTGGGGAGTTCCTTCAGACACCCCAATAAACTTGTTTGTGGAGACCTGGGGAGTTCCTTCAGACCCACAGTAAAACTTGTTTAATCCAATATGGGTCTTGCTGAGAATTCCTTCATTATTTCATCATACTTGAAGGCCCAGGAAAGGCCTAGGCAAAACTATTGATGGGCTTTTGTTCCATCCTAGCCTTTGTATAAGGGGCCTGGCTTTTAATATTTAACTTAACCCCTCAGTCAGTAGGGAAACAGTTGTTATGGAGGGCTGCATTAGTGAGACCTGGCCTGCCACAATCCTGTGTTCAAGTATTGAAAGACTATATATTATTATGATGGCAGTACTACCCAAAGCAGTCTACAGATTCACTGAAAGCCCTTATCAGAATTCCAACAGCCTTTTTGCAAAAATGGAAAAGCTGGCCATCAAACTCATATGGGATTTTAAAATGCTCTGAATATCCAAAACAATATGGAAAAGGGCAAAGTTGGAGGACTGACTTCCCAGTTTCAAAACTTACTATAAAGCTACAGTGATCTAAACAATGGGCTATTGGCATAAGTACAGATCATACTAACATACAGATCACTAGAATAGAATTGAGGTTTCAGAAATAAACCCATATTCTATGGCCAACTAACTTTCAACGAATGATGCTGGAATAACTGGATATACACATTAAAAAAAAGTTGAACCTCTATGTGATATTGTGATAGAAGCAGAAATACATATTTTGGTCTTGTACCAGTTTCCTGGTACATAGCTCCTAAGACCCTTGGAACATCCCAAGTCCCCAAGTCGTGTTTTTGTATGCTAATGAAATGACTAATGGCTGGGGGATCTGGAAGGGGTAGTTGCCAGGAGGAGCCAACCAAGTAATTAGAGAGACCTCCAAGGAGCAGGACATCTCAAGGTTAAGTTGATCACCAGTAGCCAGTGATTTAACCAATCATGCCTTCATAATGAAGCCCCTCAATCCAATAAAAACCCAAAAGGATGGGGTTTAGACAGCTTTCTAGGTTGCTGAAAATGTGCAGGTACCCAAGATCATGGAAGCTCCACGACCCTTCCTCCATACCTTGCTCTTCAATTTGGCTATTCCTGAGTTGTATCCTTTTTAAAAGAGATAAACAAAGTGTTTCTCTGAGTTCTGTGAGCCATTCTAGCAAATTACTATGGGAACTGTAACCTGGGGACCTACTATTTGTGACTGATGTCTGAAGTGGGGGGCAGTTTCATGGGACTGAGCCTTTAACCTGTAGCATCTGCATTTACTCTGGTTAGTGTCAGAATTGAACTGTAGAATACCCAGTTGGTGTCTGCAGAGAACTGGGAAATTGCTTGGTCTTGGGGAAAGCAACCTAAACTTCTGGTGTCAGAATTAATGTCCTGAGTATTGAGAGTACAGAAGGAAAAAGTTTGTTTTTTCTTACTCTACCTCATACCATACATAAAAATTAAGTAAAAATTCATCAAACCGGCGGGGTACAATGGCTCATGCCTATAATCCCAGCTACTCAGGAAGCTGAGGCAGGAGAATCACTTGAACTCAGGAGAC